TTCTTTTAAAACGAATACGCTAATCAATAGCGGGAGTAGGCCTTTCGGCTGCTCCGCCATTCAATAAATTCGTGGCTGGTCGGAATTGTGGTCTAAATTACACTTTCCCGCCTATCCCAAACACCCGAAGACTGTCCCGTTAGTCCAAAAAAAAACTTTTGTTGGAAACTGGAAGAATCAGCCAGTACGCAAAGGTTCATCAGCCGAACTGAATCATGAAGATCTCGGAGCTTCCGGTTATATCCCTAGCCCATCTCACCCCCATCAGAAAATGTTGAAACAAAAACAGAAATTGCTGGAAAAACTCAGCAGGTCTTGCAGCATCTTATAGACAGAAATCGGAATTAACGTTTCGGGTCTAGCAACACTTCGGAAAACACTGTGGAATATTTTGATATAGTTTGAACGGGAAATGCGTTTATTTCTTGAACGTTGATTTTTCATTGTAGTTAAGAATACAAGTATTGTTTGGGCCCAATTTTAGTTATCGCCAATGAAAGAGCATATAAGCAGAGTCCAGATGTCCTGGTTTTGTTGGTCACGGTCAATGGTCAATAATCTTTTCAGAGCAAATCAGAAATTGCTAGGCCGTCCAGATGCAACGGTTGCACTGACTTCCACCCAATGCTTCGAGGCTGGGTTTACAAAGATCTGCCAATGCCAGGAGGCATTCTACAAGGCAAGCGCATGCCACGGACAGGATAACTACAACTAGGAGTTCGAGGGCTGCAGCACCTGGGCAGATTGAACACATTAAAGAGGCGCTGGATCTTTTGAAATTGCAGGTTTACCTGTGCTTAATAATTAGACAGTATCATCTTACCATTGTCTCAAACACAGAAATATTTGTTGTATTTACAGTAGCATTTCTTCAAAAGACAGCAATGGGGCATTTTTTTTAAAAATGCAACAGATCGATTTTCATGGATGAACTGTAGGCCAATTTATTTCTCTGTGAAGTGTCCAGATTTTAAGGTTCTTTAAGACCTTTATTACAACCCCTTATAGGATGGTTGTTTGAATCAAGCTCCAAAATTTTGAGCTAAATAGTTACTCAAGTAATATAGAACCTAAAGTAAAATCATGAGTCTTAAAGTGGCAACCAAATTATGGGCTTCATCCAAACTACAATATTATTGTAAATGTGTTGAGAACTGTAACAGGTTTATGTTTAAGAGGCGAGTTAAGATCTGTTTCAATTGAGTGAAGTGGCAGCCAGTCTGTACAAATATAATTTTTGACAGCAAGCACGCAGAAAACGAGTTACGAGTTTAAGACCCGATTGCTTAGCTTAAGAAATTATTAGTCCCAATTTTCTGGGGCCAACATTTACATGGTATACAAGTCCGTTATCATGGGATGCCCACTTCAGCACTATTGCGTCTTTCGTATGTACCCTGCAGCCTCACATCCCGATGCCAAAATTTGATCTGTACACGATTTTTCGCAGTTCTGCAACGTAACCATTAATTTTAAGTTTAATGCGTTGCTAATGCGTCGACATTTCAGAAAAGCCACAAGGGAGTATTTTTTTTAACGGACATCCTTAGGCATGTTAATTTTAATCACAATTTAACCAATTAAAATATGAAGCGCAAGCGTGAATCTAAACTGATTTGGGACACGCACAATTGTGAGGAATGATTTGTGTTTTGCACACGAGTGCTATTTTAATTGTGAAAGCCCACGAGCTGAAATGAGCTGTATCATGTTAAATAAAGCAGAGCTAATTGAAAAAAAAAGTACTTATGTAAAGCCAATACGTCAATTAATGTGCGATACCAACTGTTTACGATCATGGATACGGTCATAAATGTCTAAATGGGAGCGATATGACAGGAGCAGCGTGCGACCATCGCCAGGAAGTTCACCCGAGACTGATGCCACTGTACCCATGCAGAGTTAAACTTCTGAACCATTGGGTCAGGATGGACCCTGTTCGGTCATCTGTCTTTCTCTTCACAGGTACGCACACAGTATTCGTTTCCATTACTCAACGTGTGAACACTTAGACATATCCATGTATATACAATTGTAAGGTTAGTCATCTGCCAGTACCCTCACCACGCTACAGGTTTGTACCCAGTTTAAAACACAAACTGGCATCAGCCAGAGAGTTGGACATTTTTACATAACCAGGGAAATTTGACAGTTCACTGGCTCCCGTGAACTTCTACTTGAACTGCATTCGACAAAGTAGCAATTGACAGGAAATTAACACCCAATACTAAACATACACTAACTTCCATTGATTGCATATACTGTTCAAAGGCGACGTGTGAGTATTTCACTCGTCTTTTCTCCCTTGAAGGATGATTTTTTTGGGGGTAAAGAAGAAGCCATGGCACGGTTAATTGTATAACGCACAGCCATTTTCCCTGCCGCTCTGACAAATCAATTCGTAAATCGGAAATATGCTGTTTATGCGCAAATCTGGAATTTTTCGAAGCTCCGATTATAAGGTGAGCTAATAGCGAACGGAGTCAAAGTGGAGCATTATCCAACAGTCGTGGAGCTCTTGCTGCACTGTTGCAAGAAACATTCCAATAAAATCCACCAGTTTGATGGGGAATATGGCTCGCAATTTCCAAACAGTTGGCTTTTCACGAAGATAATTCGCAGAATTCACCGTAGTTTTTATTATTGTTAAGTATCCGAACGAATTTCTGCGTTACAGGGGTGGGAGTAGCGCGTTCTTATTTTATTATCGTTAACAGACTTGCCAATCCTGAAGCAAAATTTTCACCGTGTATGTGCGCGTGAAATATTAAAATGTTTAATAAGAGAATGTCTGGTGTAAATTGAGCTGGGAGCAATTTTGCACGTAACGAAATACCATCCAGCCAATGCCAAGTTTGCGCCCTTTCCAAGTTGCTTGTTTCTTCAAAGAAGCCCAGAGTTTGGGAATCGGACGCGGAAAATGCCTGAGATTCCCAAAAAAATACCCAGCAATAAATGCTGGCTGTCAGGAATTCAACGACCATTTATCGGCCTGTTCTTCAAAGCTTCTGGCAAAGCATTGGAACAAGTAACAACCAGGAAAAAAAAAGTAAGTGTTGTTCAAAGAATTGCAAGAGTGTAATGTGCACCATTGAAATAAAATCTACAGTAATAGCCACTTTTAAGAAGAGAATAATATACGTGTTCTCTGCGGACAAGGCTTCCTTTCACCAGCTGAGGGCAACTGTGGTCAGTCAGGATTTGAAGCAGGATCTGTTTCCCAGGCAGTAGACTATAGTGCACAAATCGAACAACCATATAAGTTTTCTTTTAGAAACTGTATTCCTGCAGTCGATGGTTTTTCCTTTGACAGTGAAACCCATAATTGTATGCATTCATTTATGGAATAACCTGAATTTTCTACATTTTAAGCTACAAGGGTTTCAGCGACTTTTGTATTTTTGAAAAAAAAGGTATAGGAAGGGAGTGGGGTGGGGGGAGAGTTGCCTGCACCTGTATCAATCCTGCTGTAAGCGGGTATCTTTTTCCTTTCCCAGACTTTGGCAATGCCTACTCACATATGTTCTCAATTAAACTCAATAAGGCCCACTGTCTGACTGCTGGGAACTGTAGCGTGTTATAAGGTGTTCTGTTAATGCACCAAATCAACCGAAACTCCTGCGCAAACTACACGAGAAAAGAAAATGCGTGGTGCATTTTCGATACATTAAAAACAATGCCCCAGTCGCCGCCAATAATTTGTAGAGTTTTCACTGGCCGCAGTGCGGTTGGACGCCAGTAAAATGGACCGGCCACTTGTTTCCGCAAACTTAAAACAAGTTTGGGGTTTAAGATGGGGTAACGTCAATGGAAATGTTTATTTTGGAGACACCTTCTGCCTCATTATAATCAAATGCTATTGAATGACATTCTTTTTAAAACAACCGACGAGTACAACATGTTCCCACTACATCAGCCGGAACTCTATTCTTTTATTCAAATCATTGCAACACTCGCCCTTGTAATTCTTCCAATCCCCAATGGCTAAAGTGGATTTGTAACTATTGCCTGTGCAGACCGTCCGCAAACGAAATAACTGAAATCTTTCTTCATCCAGGAGATAGACTAAAACGCGTCTCATAACTAGCGCCCAAGTATACACATATGCCTTACATCATTGCCAATCTTTGTTCGTGAACCCCGCATTGACTCCGTTCAGTGTCATTAATCTGAGAAACATATAATATCCCTAAATGCTTTTAGAAAGTCGACCGGACTATCAGTAAATATAAAGATACCTTGTTGTGCAAGTTAAGACTGACAGAGAGTGGGCTGCAGAAATGTACTTGCGTTGGTTTCTGCGGAAGGAGAGCTTTTTGTGCGTGTATTTGTCGGGGGTGGGGGGGGGGGGTTGATTTCCGGACTCAGGATAAACTGCAAGATTCAATGGATAACGTACAACTTCACAAACTCAGAGAGGAGAGAAATTGAAGTGCAACGGAAAAGTTTTTTTTTCCCAGAAAGATGAACGTCTGAAAGCAAATACTTGCAAATGATCTTACCTTAAATGTTTAAATGTGTATTAGGAGGCGGTCTGTGTGTATATTTAAAAAAATCACCAGCATTCCCTCCAAGTCAGGCTGGGGTCTAATTATAGAAGAGGGAGCGGAAATACAAGAGCCCCTATCTGCACGTTAAATGGTCAGAAATACAGAGAGATCCTTCAAAACTAGACTGCACTCCCTAGCCTGAAACTGTTCCGACTTACGTCCAAATGAATTTCGTCAGAGTTTCCAAGGATTTTTGTCTCGGTCTTGAACAAGCTGGGGTTCTGCACTCTACACTATGTGCGGCACTCTACACTATGTGCGAGCCCTTCTCTTTAAAGTCAGACGACGATTATAGAAGTGCAAGGGCTGCTGTTTGAAATTACAAGAGAGGGAAAAAGCAACTCTATTGTGTGTGTGTAAAAAAAAGTCACGATACCTACCGCAGAGAAACGGATGATTACTTAATATAATACAGGCAAACACAACTCAAAAGAAAAAACAGAATCCTTGAACTGTTAAAACCCCGCACCTACGTGTTTTAATAGGCAGAATTACTTTCAGTAACACGTCAGGTTTAAGACAGAACCTTATTCAAGACAGAAAAGTACAAAACCGTTGCCCCTCTCCCGTCTACAATATTAAAGGCGGGTTAAAAAAAATCACTTCCATCATTTAACATTATTCCCATCAGCTAGTCCCATATCACCAATCATTTATGTCGTTTGAGTTGTGTTGTAAGATCACATCACTTAACACCTTTTGTTTTTAAAACATCGTTTTTTATGTGAATCATATTCCCTTGGTCCTTTGTGGATTGTTCCTTTTTCATTATTGCATTGCACCCAGTGTTTCATGAAGAAATCTTGCGGCTCTGGCGTGTGTGTGGAATGGTATCCGGCCTCAGGCGTTTGGATTAGTCTTCATCAGCTCAATATCAGCCGCTACCATCTCCCTGACCAGTTCCTGCACACAAGCACAGCAGCATCAGCTCAGCCACCGAATCACCCGCGTTAGAAAGACACAGTGAGCTAACATTGGGAAGTGCGTGAACTTCACACACCCAAACAGTGAAAAAAAGAATGTGAAAAATTTAACAGTGGCGAAAGAAAGTGAGAGAAAAAAGAAACAGAATCTACTATTTTAACCCAAAAGTACAGATCCACAGCGTTTATTTATTTCTGTCACGGAGTTTAGGGGAGAGCGTTCAATTAAATCAGTCGTTAAGTCGTTGCAATACAGAATTTAACAGCGAGATACGGGGCCTATCTGGGGTATTCAGACACCACACAACTGTATTCAAAGAAAAACACAACCCAGCTATTGGGGTGCAGGAAAATTGAGAACTTTCAAATTCACTTCCTCAATATTTGCAACGCCCCCCCCCAAATAAAAGCCACTTACGTCAAATGCAACTTTTGGCTTCCATCCCAATTTCTGCAGCGCTTTGCTGCTGTCTCCTTGCAGAAAATCCTGGAGAAAGATGAATCACAGGGTCAACGTCAAACGACACTACACTACTGTGTTTAACAGTGTTTGCATTTTTATAGATTATTACCGCTCCTTTAGCTAAAACCTCCACAAGGCGCTCGGGTAATCGAGCCCCGCGGCAGTGAAGAGTCTCTCTGGGATGTGGCAGGTTTAAGGTCAGGGGTAAGGTTGGGGTCGAGTTGCTGACAGGTACCACCCTGACTGAGTTCCCGCTGGCGTTCAAACTGACGGAGACGGTCGAATTTGTCGCCTTTATTTGGCCGAAGAGGTTAAGGCGCCCGAAAGACTGTTTATTAAATTAGATCATCTCTCTCTCTCCCCGGCACTGAATAGAATTGCTGCTACCTTAAACACCGCTTGGCATTTCATTGGTGTTCTCAATTTCAGAGACCGTCTCAGTTACTTGCTCCCAAATATTTGAGATTGAATTAAAAAAAACTGCTTGACAATTCAAATCTGCGAAAAAGTGCCCTATGCCACTTTATAAAAAAAACAAAATTATACAGCGCCAACAATAACTTTGTTTTTAACACTACCCTTTTAAAAGAACTGAACCACGCATTTCCAACCGACTTATCCCCACACACAAACTCCACATTTACTGCCGTTCACTCAACGCTAACCTTGAACTTGCCCGAAAAAAAATCCCCAACGGATTCTGTTGTATTTATACCAATAAACAAGGTAGCTACAGAATACTGGATGCATTTAATTAAAATTACGTCTGTATTTTCCTTTCAAGTTGAATTTGATGTTTTAACTAAATAATACACTCTTAATTCGGGCCACAATAATACTGGAGGTTAAAAGGGCTCTTCAAAAATGTCAACTGATTTTCACCGCTGTGTTTTTAGTCCTGTGTTTGCCAAAGGCGCCACTATTTGCAAAACGTAGTGTATTTTTTGAACAAATGTATTCGGAGACAAAAACCATCGAAGGACAATTAAATCAAATCCGGCGAATTTCTCGGCTCCTGATCTGAATTCTTAACACTTTCGTTCCTTCTTTTTCATCCAGTATCGATTCACTTCGCCACCAAATTTTTTTTACAACATTGCCCCTAGGCTACCTCACATCAGAATCAGCACTAGCTGGTTGTTGTTGGCAGGAGAATCCAATGGAACATTACATTCATGTTGAACACTGTTTATCATTGAGACAACTGATTCCAAACAGCACAATAACCAATAACTTGGCAGGTCCATCTTAACCGAACTCATCTGTTATTCAAGTCCAAAGTACATGATTGCTTTGGCATGTTTCTGACAGGTTGTCTTGGCTTCAGTTTTCAGTTTATGAAATGGTCACTTCAGAGTATCAATGAATTACATCTAGTTCACAGATACAAAAAAGACAACGGTATATTGTACCTCACCTCAAAGAGGATATGATACAAAGAGGCAGAAGTGATGCTTCAGTTTTGGTTATTCAGCCTTAGGCCACTGCTTCAATTCTGACTGAAAGGAGTCAGATTCTTTTTTGTTTTATTTATTAAGGAAATGAATGGGGATAGGCAGGAAAGTGGAGTTGGAGATATCAAATTGGCCATGATCTCAACAAATGGCAAGTGGACTCAGTGGGCAAAACAGCCTACATCTGCTCTGAAGTTTTCTGGTCTTATACTTCAGGATACTGAACATCAGAATGGATGTACTAGACTTGGGATCAATACAGTGCTGAATAACTAGATAACCAGCAATTATGAGGACTAGTTGCATAAACTACTCCTGAAGAAGAGTAGTTATGCAATTGAAATGTTAACCGTTTTTCTCTGCATAGATGTTCAGGACCTAGTGAGTTTCTCCAGCACTTTGTTTATATTTCAGATTCCCAAACACTACACTGCTTTTATTTGCATTTTTATTCCCTTGAGTATAGAAGATTGGAGGGGCTGTTGATTTAATGAGTTTTGAAAATTATCAAGGGATCAGCTGTGGCTCAGTGAGGAGTTTTCTGGCATTTGGGGCACAAGGTTGAGAGTTCAAGTCCCACTCTGGAGATTCAAGCATAAATATCTTGGCTGACACTTTAATAATGAGGGAGTGATCTACATTCTTTTTTGGTGCTTGGTTAAACCAGGGTTCTGTTTGCCCTCACAGGTGGATGCAAGGTCTGGCAGCACCATTTTGAGAAACACCAGGGTATTTATCCCTTCTGTCCTCAGTAATAATTATCCCTCAGACAACATCACAAAGACAAATTATCTGGCTATTATCACACGGCTATTTGTATGATCTTCCCATGCACACACTATCTGTTGCATTTTCTAGACTATAACAGTGACTGCACTTCACTGGCAGAGCCCTGGACATCCTGAGGTTATGAAAGGCACTATATAAATGCAAGTCTTTTTTAAGATAGTATAGGTACAGAACACTTTCCTCTATTGGAGCGATGCAACAACAGGAGAGCACAATCTTAAAATTAGAGCTATGTCATACTACAGTGAAATCAAAAAGCAAAGAATCTTCATGCAAAGAGTGGTGGGTATCTGGAACTCATTCCCTCAAGGCACAGTTAATGTTAAGACAATTGAAAATTTTAAGTCTGGAAACCAATACATTTCTGTTAAGTAAGGATAATAATGAATACAGATAAAGAGTGAGTAATTGCTCAGGCATAGATTAGCCATTACATATATTGTAACAGATTCAAGGTATTGAATGAATGGCATTTGAACCTATTTTCTTCATCAGGACCTTGTTTAACATTAAACATTGTGATGGCAATGAAGACATGAGAACAATGTTTCAAAGCACTGACAAAATTATATTTTAAAAGACAATAGTCCTCCAAGATACCTGTTAACTAATTCAACTGTAGTTAAAGTTGTGTAATTGGTTATTCTTGTAGTGTTTCCAACTGTGGGAGCTGTTTAATACAGGGTGATGTGACATATATTAGGATACATTTATAGTCATTCAAAGCATTACTCTACAATGTTAAAATAATTGGCAACTGAAATATATTATGTTCTTCTTCTATTGCCATGAAAGTTGATTGATTTTTCTTCACTGAGCAAATTAGCTTATTTGGAATCCATTCCTGTGCTTTTTTAAAAATAGAGATGTGCACTTGTCAAATAACATGCTACTTTAATTATCTTAATTGAAAACCAAATGTGTGACAGCACAATCATCTCAGTGATAATCCCTGTTAGTTGACGATTTTCAAGAAGTCTGTTTAGCTGTAGAGAACAAGATAATAATATTTTCTATCTTTTCTAGTGTAAGGAATCACACACATGGAGTGTGAAAAGCCCACAGAAGAAATCAATTTTGCCAAAAGCAGCTGCACAACTTAGAAGAAATGGGATTGTGATTTTCACAGCCCAATTACAAGAACACATTTCATTCGGATGCAATGTTAATTTTTCTGGTTAAGTCTGCATGCATTCACACTCCTTCTGTAGGAGATATATATGCATTTTAAAATCGCTCGATAAAAATCTTAACTTCTATTTTAAATTTCACAAAAATTTCAGCACAAAAGCAGGAAGATGACAAAGTGACTTTTGATGACGTATTTTAATTATTGATTCTGAACTGATCTGTTAATTTTTGTAAAGCATTGCTAAAAGGACAGTTGTGCATGAATTGCAAGGAAGCAGAAATTTGCTTTAAGGTCCTCCACCTGTTGTCATGTACTTGGGATTACTTACTGTCAGAATCAGGCACTGTTGGGAAAAGCATTTAATCCAGCCACTTAAATTGGAGAATAAGCACAGAAACAGGAAAGGCAGTGGAGTGAAAAAAGATTTTTTCGCTTAAGATCTTATCAAAGCACCAAACAACAATCACTCAGTGTGCAAACATGACTACCTGACAAATATCTCCAAGTTCTTTGGACTGTGATTTTATATTTGGCTAAGTACAACTGCTCCACAGTGCATTTGGTAGTTCCACACACAGATTGGCTGTCTTTTCAGAATACTGGACTCTTTGACGAAGAAGCACTTTGTTGGAAACTTTGGTTAAAATGCATAGTAACTAAATTTTCTAAAGGCTAAGTGCTTATTTAAGTACCTTTTTTTTAAACTTAAGTACATGAAACAGTGTACTAACCTCACTTTCACCACTAATCATTCTACGACCATAGTCCCAACTCACTCCTTTATTTCCAAATTGTTTTTTAATTTCTTAACAGAGTGTTGTCATATATTTCCTTCACTATATACAGTTTACATCCTGCAGTGTGTCAGAATAACTTGTAGATTTTTCTGGTCAGTGGCATTTAAGTGGTACCACTGCAGCTGCCTGTCGCCTCAATGGCTTGTGAAGACTTAGCCAGAATTCCAAATTTTACATCACTTTGAAAAATTAGATCTTGTAATTATGAAAGTATGAAAACAAGCTCATCTATTAATTAATTCCTTAAAAATAGAATTGCCAAAAATATCATTCCACAATTTTTTAAATTTTTGTTCACTTATTAGATTCCACATGTTTAATGATGTCTGAATCATATTTATATGCATTTTAATTTGAATTTTCCATTAATTCAAAATTAGCAATGCAGCTAATATAATAAAATAGAACTGAGCTAATACTAAATTAGCAAATAATTTAAACACCTATAATTGAAAACTGGACATTGTCCTTTTATTTAAGCAGTACTTGTTGACATAGTTAGGGAAAAAGGAGTTATTGATCTTGATAGTATGAGAGTGCTAAATTGACACAAAAAGAGATGCAAGATTTGATTGCATAGTAGAAAGACAGTGGAGTTTATCACTGGTACCACTATTGTCCTCTACTGGTAGTAATCCACTACAACTTTGCCTACAATTGAAAAAAAAACTTCAATGGTTGTAAAGGGCTCTGTGACGTCTTGAAGTTGTGATAAATGCTATATAAATGCAAATCTTGGTGCAGCCAGAGTAGCAAAAATTCAATAAATTTGTTGTTGTCATGACTGCTATTACTTCAACTGTTGAAACTGGCAGAAAACCAGCCATGCTCTGGGATAAGTAAAAGCAAAAG